TAATTAATAATTAATAATTAATATTAATTAATAGTTAATATTTATTAATATAGTAATAATTTAATTTATTTAATACTTATTAGTATAGTAATAATTATTTTTATTTAATATTTAAAACTAATTAATATTTAAATCTATCTTTGTCCTCAGATAATTCTCAGCAGCTTTATGTGTTGATTTTGCTGGAGAGATCATTACTGATGAATATATCTTATTTCCGCCATATGTGCGAAATTCTTTTGTAAAGCTAGCTTCCATTCCATGTAGGATGATTCGGATACCCAAAGCTCTTCTATAATGGATATCATTTTCACAAAACTTTTGAAATTTTGTTTTTTTTATTAGTTATCGAAATTGAAAAAGCTTCAGATTTTGCTAATTGAACAAAATGATAAGTTGGATATCTATTTTCTTCAAAAAAGTTTGGTCCTGCGGATAAATTTTTTAGAACCAGTATATCTTTTGGAGTAATTGTTGGGTTATTAAGATAACAATCTCTAACACCCATCATTATCAGTGAGGTAATTCTGAAATTCAGGAAAATCAGGAGTAGTTAGATATATCGAATTTATTTAATACTTATTAGTATAGTAATAATTATTTTTATTTAATATTTAAAACTAATTAATATTTATTTATTAATAATGGGAATAAATCATAATTAATATTTATTGTGGATTATAATTAGAAAAAGGTAATAATAAGCTCTTAAAATGCTATTTCAAGTAGTGTTTCAATAAGTTAGTTTATGGTCATCCAAACATATACAAAAAAAATAAGGTAGCTTATGAGCTAGTTTATTTTTGCCAAACAATGTCATAACCTTAAATGAGATTTTAATTAAATCCATAATATTTTCATGAGTATGAATCCATTTTTTCTTATATAGGTTAGAAGGTTATGAATTTAACTAAAAAATTATTTAATATCATTTGCCTAAATGACCCTGTTAAAATGGCCATTTGTCTTTTCTTTTTTTCCGTTTTAATTATTTGGGAAATTAATTAAAATAGCGAGATTCATTTATAGTTGTTTCTCTCCTAATATTTAAAAAATATCACTATGTCCGTAAATGACACCTCAATTTTTGGAGGGGTTAAAGTGTAAAGAAAAAATTTCTGAATCAGGTCCGCAAATAAAGAGACCAAATATGTAAATTAGTCCCAACACTTCCTCAAGTGGCGACGGTGCTACCTTTATTTAATTTACAGATTTGGTCCATGTATTTGCGGACCTTATTCAAATTTTTTTTTTACATTTTGACTCATCCGTAAATTGAGAATGTGTCACTTGCTGGCCTAGTGATATTTTAGGAGAGAAATGACTAAGCCGATAAATAGAAAGCCTAAAAGTGGCTATTTCTATTAAATTTCTAATTATTATTGTTTATGTATCATTTGCGAACCTAGTG